AATTTTTTTGATCTTACCAAGGCTTTCGATTGTGTCCAACATGACATTCTTCTACAAAAATTGTCGCATTACAAGTTCCATAGTAATAGAATTAGGCTCTTGTCATCTTATTTGAGCAACAGGCAGCAGCTTGTAACCTTCAACAACACTACCTCCAGTACAACGATAGTTTCACGTGGCGTCCCACATGGTTCTGTGCTGGGTCCAATTTTATTTTTAACATACATTAATGACATTCCTAATTGTAATACAAACAACAACCTTATCCTGTTTGCCGATTACACAACAATGCTCTGTAGTAGCAAATCAATTGATCTCTGTGAATAATGAATATACAATAAATTTAGAAAACTGTTTTTTAGCAAATAAACTGACACTTAATGCTTCAAAGACACAGTCCATGGTAACAAGTTTGTGTCGCCATAATATCAATACCGTAAACACAGTAAAATTTCAGTGTTGATACACACATGAGTTGGGGGGAACATGTAAACAATATTATCAGGGAACTATCTAAGACCATTTATTTAATTAGGAATCTGAAAAGCTGCGTTTGCTGATCACATATTATGGATACTTCCACTCAAGAATGTCATATGTAGTTTTGTACTGGAGTCACTCTGTGCATATGCCTAAGGTATTTGCATTACAAACGCGCTGCATCAGAATCATCGCAGGTCTGAGTTATATACAGCCATGTAGGGAGGCATTCACCAACCTAGGGATCCTTGCTCTTCCATCTATATATATATATATATATAGATGGATATATATATATATATATATATATTTATCTGTTTATGATATGTACACAACAATTTAGATCTATACAAGACGCTCAGTAATGTACATAGTTACAACACACGTAACATCCATAAGTTAGATATTCCTAAACATCATCTACAATGAACTAGAAACGGTTCTAAAAAGTATGGAATTCATTTCTATAATGTTCTTCCTGCGGCACTCAGAATGTCTGACACCGTCTCATTTAGGTATAGAATTAAAGCGTACCTTATCAGGAAAGCCTTTTACAACATCAAAGAATTTTTAAGAAATAACTTTTCGGATCTCTAATGTTGGTGTTGTAGTGTGCTTGTTTACTTTTACTCTGTCAATTTGTTCGGATGTGCTTGTTCTATAGTTTTGTATTTATTTTAAATTCATAATATCTTTTTACAGTTTTTCTGTTATTGTTGTTTTTTTTAAGTTTTCTGTTAATGTTGTTCTTTAGAACAAATGTTATTGTTTTGTGAATTTATACTTTAGCATTTTAAATTTTACTTTGACCTGTGTGCTTGCAAGTGTATTTAGCACCAATAAAGGAATGAATGAATGTATATGGTTCGTGGTTACTCATCGCAAAAATGTCAGTATTACACATTACATGAAAGTTTGGAGATTTTCTTTTACGTTGTCAAGATTATGCCTCTTCAACTAGGTTTATTAACATAAAAATGGTAGTGTTTCTTAAAGGGCAATAAACATTCTTAAAACTCACGAGTCTTTCACAATATCTCCCCTTCCTGGGATGCCTGGAAATAAAAATCATAATCTAGGTTGTATGTATGCATTATTTTTGTTCATTTATAATTCATATTTTGAATGTTCAATCATGCTTCGATTGATAGGCATTGTATTATGTTGTATTTAGTTCTGAACCACTCTTCAATAGGATAATTGTTATATTTGTTACAAATGCATATTTACCGCATGCATTTTTTCACAGTGGGATGATCGCCAAGATAAAACTTTTTGTAAAAGTGCACCTACCCAGAACTTTGAGGAGCGGGAAGGTAGCAAATTTTCTAGGCGTAACAATATACCCTAGATTGTTCTCAAAATCGTGCTAAATATGCTGATTTTAAGATCCAACAGGAATCACCGCCTCCCTTGAGGGCGTCAATGGATTTTTTCGTGAAATGGTATGCCATAACGTAATTTAGAAATTGAAGGTGTAACACTAGATTCTTTGAAGAGTTATTTTGTGATTACAACAAAACATCCAATTTGTATGATGTTATATATGATAGTTAACAAGAGCTGTTATAGGCGCGACACCACTGCACCGATTTCAAAAATGAAATTGCTTATGGCTACTATTGCTTCTGACAATACGCGGTTACAAAACTACCAAAAGATGAATTGGCAGACAGACAGAGCCAAAACACATTGTTTTTTATTTATGTGATTCGAATATCGGTTATGGTGAAGTCGCTCAAAGTGTTGTTTAATCATAAACACCACCAATGGAGCTCATGAATTACTTTCTATTTTCTCCTCGGATCTCTCGCTTAGCTTACACGTACGAAAATAACTCACCGACTCTGTTTCAGTAGTTTATACGTTAAATAAAACGTTATTTTAGATATCATTCGTTCTCTAATTATACACTAGAGAATATTTCAAAATCGTTTTATTCACAATCAGAACTGTAATACATTTTTAGAACAGAAATTTTGTATTGAGATAGATAATATTCAAATTGAAAGTGCATCTAGTATGAAGTATTTGGGCGTAGTTTTAGATCCTCAGCTAAATTTTTCATTGCATGTTGATTATGTTAGTAAAAAAATTGAGAAAAAAATAGGATTTTTTAGGCGAATATCTGAAAGTCTTAGTCACTGGAGTCGTCTTCTTGTATGTAATACCATCATATATCCACATTTTAATTATTGTTTTTCATTGTTGCTATCATGCAAAAAAACTGATATTCAAAGGCTCCAGTTACTACAAAATAAGGCTATGCGCACTATATTATTTTGTACACGTTATACGCCTATTAATTTAATATGAAAAACCCTCGGATGGCTTTCAATACAGCAAAAGGTTGAAATGTCAAATGTCTTATTTATTTTTAAAACAAAAAATCATTTATTGCCTGAATACTTGCAGGAATATCTAATACCGAGGTCCGAGAGGCATGCATATAATATCAGGTCACGTAACACTTTTGACATAGAATTCGCTAGAACATCCCATATGCAAAAATGTCTTTTTAGTGATGGTTTGAGACTTTTTAATGCATTACCTACAGAAATTAGAGAAGCGACGTCTGTAAATATATTTATTCGTAAGGTTAAGCAATTGTATTTAGATAAAATGGCATAATATATGTACTTTCTGTGTTAAGATAACTGTATGTCATTATCTCGCATTTGCTATTGTTGCATTTACTGTGGTTGCAGTTACTATGATTTTAAGGGAATCTAGAATTACTGTTTTTTTGTTTATTACTGGAGAAAGACACTATTATAAACTATAGAAAGTAGCTTTAGGGCTAAGAATAATAAACATTTCATTTCATTTTAAAGAAAAATAGGAGACAAAAGACAATATATGAATTTTTCGTCTTAAAGTGACTTTTTATTTCATTGTTTTGTGTTACTACATATATGTACATATTATAAATATGTATACATTGTGTATATCAAAGGTAACAAACCCTTTTTTTCTTAAGTTCAAAGTTTATTGTTTATTTTAAAAACAATTGTATACATATACGTTTTAAATGTCCCAGTTTCTTTGATACATATATTTAATTTTCGGACACCCCTCTTGAACTGACACTTTCAGTCGGTCCGGTTGGTGTCGGTCCAAACGAGATTTCACTGTATATAATAACCGAAGTACCTTAATCTTGTAGGTATAATGTGAATACTTATTTAGACAATGCCTATTTAGTTGTATTAGTAACATGATGTATCCGAAATAAAAATATAGCAATATTTTACTATCAACCTATCACTTACAATACTCTAGTCCATTGATTCCCAAAGTGGTTTATATCGACCCCTAGGGGTGTATGACAATTATAAAATTGTGTAAGTTGTAGGATGTTGGTATTCGCTTTGTGGACGCAATACATTTTGAACTTGTAAAAACCTGAGAGTCGCAGTCTCAAAGCTTCGCTACCTTGCACTGACTTGTTCAATTCGTCACTCTATAAATACGAATGTGGGACAAATACGTTTATTCGTTTCCTGAATCTTGAAAAGGAAAGTGCTAAGAAAATATTTTAAAAAATATAAACAGATAGTATATCACACAAATTATAGTGAGTCAGTGTTATTTTGTTTGAGAGTGCTGGAGAAAAGTAAGTACATTATTTTTTATTAAATTTTAGTTTTGTACTCGTAGTTAGCAAAGATATATAAATTACGCCAATCATGACTTCAGTTATTAGTAGTTAAATCTTCAATAATGCAAAGTTTAATTTTGAAAGTTTTAGCAATCGGTAATATAATTACAGTGCAATCTCCGTAATTCGAGCTAATTGTTGCAAGAAGATGTTCGAATTATGGAATGTTTTCGGAAAAATCAAAAAATATTTTTAATATACAGCTGCTGGATTTTCTGTCTTATTTAAATAATTTAATTTTGCCCACAGATGACTGTTGCCATGTCCGAATCTAAAAAGAAATGTAGACAGTACAGTGTTGATTATTTGAAATTTGGCTTCATTCCATCATTGCCGGACAAACAATCGCCTATGTGCCTTTTATGCAACAAAGTTTTGGGCAATGACGCCATGAAACCATCTAAACAGCAAGATCATCTGAGAAGATCCCACCCTGATAAAACAGAGAAAGATTTGAAATACTTTCAAACACTCAAAGATAAATTTCAGAAGAGACCTACACTGGACGGAATGTTCGCTTCGACGTCACAAAGAAATGATGATGGTTTGCGGGCGTCTTACAATATCTCGTTACCTATAGCAAAATCCGGAAAACCGCATACTATCGGAGAGAAGTTAATTTTGCCAGCCGTTGAAGAGGTTTTAAAAACTGTTTTACACAGACCTGCATCTGATATCATTAAAAGAATTCCCTTAAGCAACAATACTGTTGAAAGACATTTTGATGAAATGAGTTCTGATATTGAAAACTTATTAATAAAAAAATTATTATTTGCAAACGACCCATTTCTCTATACAACTGGACGAGTCAACTTTACTTGATAATGCAGCATTATTATTGGCATATGTTCGTTTTATTATGAATCAAGAAATCTACGAAGAACTGCTCTCCGCAAGAACTTTGATAACCGACACTAAAGGTGAATCAATATTTCATGTTTTGAAGGATTACTTCATTGAAAAAGCAAATCGTTTATCAAATATAATATCAGTAGCTACAGATGGAGCACCTGCCATGGTTGGACGTTATCGTGGATTTATAAACTATTTAAAACAAAATGTGTCAGGGGTGTTAGCAATACATTGCGTCATCTATCGACAACATTTAGTTGCTAAAAATTTGAGTGTTAGATTGCATGAATCACTTCATTTAGTCATTGATGCAGTAAAGCGAATCCGAAGCAACGCGTTGAATACGCGGTTATTTGCGCAGTTGTGTGAAGAAAAATACGAACACTTTCATCAATTACTCCTTCACAATGAAGTACGCTGGCTGTCGAAAGGCTTATGTTTGACAAGATTTTTTGCACTTTTTGAGACTATTTTAGAATTTCTGGATACTAAAGATAGAATTTTAAAAGAAAATTTAATAAAGAGGAAAACAGACATCGCCTATTTAACAGATTTGTTTACAAAATTTAATATGGTTAATTTGCAATTACAAGGCGACAGTTTAAATTTGATTAAAACAAAGTCCATCTTATCAGCGTTTCTTGCCTGAGTTAAACTAATGAAGCAAAATATTGGACGGGACGAATTTTCTCAGTTCCCCAATTTGTCACAGACAAGCTGCCAGGAAAACGACGTTCAACTTACGTTCAACATTTAAATGCCCTCTATTCAGATTTTGAATCTAGGTTTGAGGATATTTTGACTATGGAATACCACCGTGGATAATTAATCCATATGGTGACATAGAAGAAACTAATGTCATAATACAAGAGCAGCTGACTGAACTAAGTACAAACGAAGAACTTAAGGTTCAGTTTAAAAACGGATATCAGCAATTCTGGCTGCAAAACAACATACCCGTTACTTATCCCGTATTATGGAATATAGCGAGGAAATTTCCTTTCCATCGTCATACCTAGTGGAAAGGGGGTTCAGGGCTGTTACCAATCTCCTAACGAAAAAAAGAAACAGACTGGACATCATTAGCCGAGGAGATTTAAGATTAACCCTTACAAAAATGACGCCAAATGTTGATAATTTATTATTAAAGCATCAGGTTCATCCTTCTCGCTAAAAATATTGACTTATTGGGTATGTTATTTTATTTATAGTTTATTTTATGTTTATTGGTGTCTGACCAATAAATGCCCGCATTGGGAATAAGTGCCCGCAATTTTATAGAAAATATATTTTTTTTTGAATTATTCTGAAAATTCAAGGATAGGTACACACTAAAATTCGTTAATTTTTTGTCTATTTTTAGATAACTTAAACGTATAAGAAGCGGAATTTAATCAAACTAACAGTGAAATTATTGTAGAACTTACGTTTATGTTATAATTAATAAACGAACTCGCTTATTGTACTATTTTAAGTAAAACACTTTTTTTTATTATTTTTAATTTTTTTTTTATTTTATCCCTCTTATTTTTTTTCAATGCGGGCACTTATTCCCAATGCGGGCACTTATTGGTCAGACACCTGTTTATTTAATGTTACGTATATTTTACATAACAGATACAAAATTTTATTTTGAGTAGTTTTAATTTAAATTCAATTAATAAATGTATAAATTAACATGTGTTTTTACTTTAAGTTTTTAACACTAAACTTCACTACAGTTAGAAATTTACAGGAAATCAATATCAGGTAAGTAGGGGGTCTACCCAACACGGAAAAACATGGCAAGGGGTCTACGACACAAAAAAGTTTGGGGAACTCTGACTCTAGTCGAACATTTCAGAAATTAAAAAATTGTTGGATGCATTTCGTTGAGTAACAGCATTGGTATTTTTCACGCGATGAGGAAAATTGGATTATTGGAACAGGGTATAGGGTCGCATAATAACATAACTGATCCATAATATATGACCTACGTTTTCACTGTTTGCAAAATAAACATATACCGAGAATTTACAAGAACTTGATGTACACCATGATATTTGAGATAATTATGTTGCTTTTATTCCATATAATTTGTTATGTACAACACAAATCATTCACAGGTAAAAGCAAAAAATACTTTCAGACAGCATGGAAAGCGATTCATTATGTTTTCATAAACCGTTATGAACCTGTCTCAATAAATGCAGGGTATTCCAACCGTGCGAGGATGGAATATTGTTCTATGTGTGTAAGACAAAACTTAAAAAAGACGATCTATTGGTTTTTATACCGGATTACTGGGAAATCGCCGGATGTGCGTGGCTAAAAATGAAAATTTTTCAATTCCTGTGATTAACAATCACCTGAAATTGGGCATTTGAGTTTACTAAGAAACCATGTAAGAAATGAGTGGTAATTCGATCAATTTTAGTAGTTTAACATTAGGTTAAGCTAATACAACCGCAAAAATACTACATACAATAAAATAGCACCTATTCCGAAAAAAAGTTTTTTTAAGCTTTTTTTCAAACTATACCCTAGTAGCTTCACAAGACAATTCTGCAATGATCAATGATTTGAATACAATGATGGCATCTTTTATGGTTTTGTAGAGTCGTTGATGCGGTACATACGAAAATGTCAACATTACTTTCCCAATCAACAAATTTTCTATGTTTTTGAGGTTGCTAGGCCTCTTTTGCCGAAAAGGTGGCAAAACCAGGAGCTATAAAGTGAACGTAGATCTCTTTTCGCAACTATGATACTCCAACAGACCAAGATTTTTGAAAAATTATAAACTCATTCGAATTATGAAAAAATATCAGTCAATATTTGACCTAAATTGGTTTGATTGACTATTTGTCAGGACTTAAACGGTTTAATACTAATGTTTAATACTTTTTTGGAAAGCTAATCATACGGCCAAGTTTTTAAAAAAAATTATATGCTCAATTTTTATAGATTAACATATCCTTGTTCTAAGGAAAGCTGAAAACTACAACTTTTTTATCCTTCGGAATAGCTATTATTTTATTGTATGATTGTATTATACCTAGGTACCGAAAAGGAAGAGCGCAGCAAAAGACCTGACAGGCTACCGTAAGCGCAGAATCCTTGGAATTGATAAAAGTCGGAGCGTGAGTAGCCCACCGTATTCAAGAAGATGCTGAGCTTGCAGTGGCGTGCGATGTATTCCGCTGATCTCTTGCTCTTCGGTAACCGAGTATATCTTAATTTAAGAGCAGTATCGTCAGTCGTTCCTACAATTGTATGACGCCTTTATGGCCTCCTTGATTGTTGTAGCCTTTCCTTTCCTTCAGAATGGGTGGAATATTTCTAGATTTCACCTGTTCAATCAAAATCTCACACATTTCTTACATATTTTTTTACCAAGTGTCAATTTTAGCTGATTGCCTGTAACCCTGTATGTTATCTGGGGGTAAATTTCTAAAATATTGACTCATATCAAACCTGATTTTTTTAAATGGTATGCCCTACTTTTTATTACACATTCTGATATCCCCATTTATAACATGCTTATGGATTTTCATGATTAGTCATTGACCCATTTGGTATTTTATCTAAAAAAAAAAAACACCAAACTTTGACAGTTTTCATATCAACTATCTTGACAGGTAAGTAGTAAATTTTGTGTGAAACTGTTTTTATCATACTCAATTTTAACCTAATCTTTTGTCAAAAACGCAAAACGTACTTTTTCTCAAATAGATTAAATGGAACACCCTGTACACTTTAACATTTTTGGACTCACTATGTACAAGCATTTCACTGATACAATTCTATCACTCACTTTTCAGTTATAGTTAATTCTTTATTAAACACGCTCGGCAATCGCATAACAATGACATAAAAATATATCATCTCAACAGAGAATGTAGGGAAAGCGAATAAATTGAGTATTTTTGGTTATAAGGAAGCACTTACTAGAACATATTATATCACCATTCATTCAAATACTTTAATTTTAGACTGAACAGCAAAGGAATACCCTACACCTTTAGAGCATACAATTAGTATTGAGAATCTATTATCGTAAGATTTAGACCACTGGCATGATCGTTAATATGATTTTTTGCCAACTTGTGTCTATTTCAAGTGTGCCCCTTGTAACACTATCAATAAGAGTGAATTTTCAATTTCAGACAGCGCTGTTTGGTGCTCATTAGCTTTCTGTTTCTTATATGCATGGATTGTTGGTCTGTTCTCTGAATATTTGATATTTCGGCTGCTTCATGGGTAGACCATTTTGGTGGTGGGACAACTATATACATATGTGCATTGCGCAGAACGTTGAGCAGTTATGAGCTGATGGCGTAAGGTTCTTCCGTTATCTTTCATGGTATGGTATGAGGATGAAGTTTAACTTGGCAAACCATTGGTAGGTGGAGATCGTCAGATTTTTTGTTAGTTTTTTTTTCTGTATTGCTCAAGTTCTCTGTAACTGGAGCTGCTGTGTTGTGAATAAATACTTTGTTATCATGGATAATGCGATTTTTTGTAGTAATAGTGTGCAATTCACGAGTAATTACATATAACTCAAAAACTTCATACTGTTAACCTTTATCAGGGAGAAGCTTGTAAAAGTGGAATCCAACAAAATTAAAATATTCGGAGTCTCATTAATTTTTGATAATTACTTTTTGCTTTTTTTATGTTAAAAAATTGAGTATCGTAAATATCTTTTGCAACAAAATTCACTACCCCACCTGTCGATACAGCAGTGCTTGTCATGATTTTTGCTGTCATCTCCACCATAAACGTGCAGCCCAACGTCCGAGCGCCGTCGGTCCCAAGGGCTCCCTACACTATGCGGGAAGTAATACCAGACTAGTGTTCATGTCGCGCGACATCAATAAAGCTTCTGGTCCTGACCTGATCCCTACGATTGCACTGAAACATGTAGAAGGCTTTCTGTAGTACTTTCGCGTTTCTTTCAGATATAAGAATCCGGTACTTTCCCAGAGAATTGGAAATGTCCAGCCCATCCCAAAAATGCCTTTCCCTTTCTCTTTCCCTTTGCCTTAGTCTTTGACTTTGCGTTGCTTGGCCTATCACTTCACCCATGCATGTGCCTTGGCAGCGCCATCGCCTTTAAGTTCAACTTCGCCTACAACTGGTTATGAAGCCACTATATGTGAGGTCACCCCTCCTAACTGGGACCTCCACTTCAAGCACCTGGCCATCCTGGCTTCAGTCGAGTCAAAATGGACCAGCGAAAGATAAGTTGATAGTTTTATAGCAGCGCCAAAGATGTAAAACTTATTTTGTTCTTTAAAACTGTAAAATTGTAATGTAATGGAAATGCTTCTTTTTTGTTAAATAAAATCTGTTAAATTTTTGTGTTCTGTTTATTCTTCTATCCTCTAGCCATGCCATGGTCGACATATAGCTACACGCCTGTAGATGTCTTCATGCCACCGACTGAGCTACCGGAAGCTAATGGTAAACCCCTGTCTGTGATTGTGCAGAAAAGTTGGAATCTTCATTGCATTCCATCTTTTCTGGACTTTTTGCGGAAAGGAAGCGTTACATAAATTGTAAAGTAGGTCGACTCAGCACAAGTTATCCCTTCTGTCCAAAAAGTTAGTTATGACATGTATAACTCAAAAATTAAATGGATCATGTCGGCCAAACGGTCTCCTACAGTTAAAATTTGCATATTTAGCATGCTTTTGTGTACAATTTTGGGGCGTTTAAGGAAAAACAAGGTTTTTACGTCATATAACATCCAAAAAACAAATTATGCAATATACAATTTCAAACAATTTTGCGATTACAATACTTCCTCGTCAGTAGGCGTGGGAAGCAAAAGGATCTAAGACAAAGCTTTACATCGACAGAAATAAAGCTATGCATTCTGTTGTCACTAAGGAGATGAAGAAGAGCATACATCGCGAGCTCCTGGAGTATCTCATCACATCGCGAGCTTCTGGAGTATCTCATCATGGCTTGATTAGCGACAGGTTAACCTACACACCGCGCGGAGCCTGATTTGTACATTGACTCATATAGTCAAAGTATCACAAAACATCATACGGTTTGACGTAAGTTGGGAGGGAGGCAGGGTTAGACTCACCCGTTTAGAGTTTTTCGCAACTTTATTAACCCCTTACCGCATACTGTCCCAAATTTGGCACACGTGAAATATATGTTATTTTTCAAGTCCCCCAACAGCTAAAGGCCTTAACCTAAACTGTTCCATATCTGGCACGCTCGCTTCTCTATCGCCAAGAAACATTGTCGCCCTCTAGCACGTATTTTATGAATTGCGTCAGATTTCGTTTAGCGGCCCGTAGGCACGTGTTACTACATTCGCTTATAGAGTTGTGGCGGCCATAAAACGTTCAAAAATCAAATTTTTGGTGCAACTAAAATTATCTACGTTCTGGTAAGTATGTCTTATTGTGACTTTTGTAAAATTATGTCCTTCAACTCATACACATGTTGATTTATCGTCATTTGTTTTCTTGTGCCATAATCGGAACAACTTGCAGTAAAAGAAAAGCTGACTATATTATTGCCCCTTTTTTCAGATGGATGCAAAACGATTTTATGGTGCTAAAACTGTTGGGATTCCGAACTTGAGTGGCAGTGAAGATGAAAATTTGTCAGATGATGATTTTTTCCGAAAATCATTTTCTCAAGTTCTGGTGGAAGATACCAGTGAAGAACAGCTTGATAGAGAGACGGTCGAAGATATTGTGATTAAAGAAAGTGATTTTTCCGATAGTGAAGACGACGTTCCCCTTTCAACTCTCATTGCAGCAAACAAGGCAAAGAAAAAAAACAAGGTTTGTTTTGATTGGGAAGATAAACAGTTGAGGGTATCTGATGAAGACATATTATTGAAGGGGTCTCACTCCTTAGGAAAAGATATTTTGAAAAATCGTGTGCCAGATTGCGAATTTCCTAAGGAATCTATGATGAAGAAAAAAGGTAGAGGTACAATTATGGAGAGAGTTGCTCAAGTCGATGGCGTAGATGTTTCAGTAGTTTCCTGGTATGATAACAAAGTAATTACCACAGTATGAACTTACGTAGGCAGTCGGCCCATTTCCGAAGTACAGAGATTTTGCAGAAAGGAAAAAAAGCACATTATGATTCCTCGTCCAAAGAGTATATACAACAACTATATGGGAGGTGTTGATCTACTTGACTCGATGTTAGGATACCATAGGATACTTATAAGGTCAAAAAAATTTTACCTAAGAATATTTTTCCATTTCCTCGACATGTTGTGCTGTAATAGTTGGATATTGTGGAGAAGAGCTCTCACTGAGAACAATTCTGATGACTATTTGCCACTGGCTCAATTCAAACTTGGTTTAGCAGAAATTCTAACAAGATCCGACATAACTTCAAAAAAGCGAGGCAGACCTAATAGCTCACTACAGTCTCAACTGGATTTAAAAAAAGGAAATATCCTTTTGCGGAAATACCAGCCCAAGAAATTTGTCGCGACAATGTGGGACATCTTCCTGAGTGGCATGAAGATCGCCAAATTTCCTGAGTGTAAGGGAAAAACACAAGTTTGGAGTGATAAATGTAATGTTAGATTATGTTTGAACAAAGACCGTAATTGTTTTCGCCGTTTTCATCTGGAGTAAATAAATGTTTATTCAAAATTACATTTAGTTTAGGTGTTTTCCCATGTATTTTTAACGATTTATAACATATATGGTTTCAGTAAATTTTTCCGTTATTAGTCAACTATTGCAATTTGTGTCAAATTTGGCACATGTCGAAAAAGGCTATTCTTTAAAAAAAAAAAGCATCAATAATTTTTTTATATATTTTTCTAGTTACTTTTCTAATATGAACTAGCACATATATTTATTTTAACAAAAACAAAAAAATCATGCAGTAAGGGGTTGTTTCGTTTTTTTTTATATTTTGTATATTTATGTTACTAAGAAACCTTGTTTATTATTGCCCGACCTACCTGTAAGACAAAGTCTCAGAACACTCTGTAGCAGTGGCGAAGCGTCCATGTAACCATTTTTACCATTGGTAACAGTTAAAAATCTTAAAAATAAATATTTTATGACTAAGTACTGTGAAATAATTTCATTTATTTGTTTACCGACAGCGATATGTAATAGTAATTCAGTAAATAGCAACTTAGCCCCACGAAAATAATTCGCCCTATAGTGTCTAGGTTTTGCGAACACGATAAAGCTGACTTGGTTGGCGGTTGTTACCATTTTCATTTATGGATACACTCGGTAGTCCGTCGGGGACCTTCGGAGCCGGCGCGTGTTTGATCGCGGTCGCCCGAGTGGGTGGAGCGCTGCGACTATTATGTGGGCTTGTTACCATTTTTTGATTTGGTTACTCACTTCTCACTCGTTCGTAGCCGTTTTGGTTACCGGCTGTAGTGTGCGTGCAATTAAACATGGATGCGTGTCGCTGCGTAATCGATAAACTGCTTGAAAAGTCATTCTCCTTGTATAATTTTTAAGAAAAAAAAAGGAGATCATTGAAGATGGAAGACCAAGATAATTTTAAAAAGGAATAAAAAACGTAGTTTGATATTTTAAATGAAGTTGGTATATGGAAACTCTTGGTTATGTGGTTGCAAAAAAAACAGATTTTATTGTTGGCGATGACATCTGTTTTATACAGAAAAAAATGGGTGGACCAGCAGCGGAGTCAACAATTTAAATAGTTTTAGGGTTCTAAGGAGCAGACATGAAATTTCTCCGTTACATGTGAGATGTGTAGCCAATTTAATTCAGTTTGGCAAAACAAGAAACGAAAGTTGTCTTAACCAAGCTTTTAGGCAGCACACTTCTAGATACCGTATGTTTTTTGGTAAAACAGGAATTACTGTTCATTTTGAAGGGGATGGCTCTGACAATAGAGGAAATTACAGAGAAGAAACGTCTACTGTTTTTTCGAACGGCTTGGATTAGTCATAGCATAAGAGCTGCTGCTATTTGCTGTTACGTTCAATGTAATGAAATATCCTGAAAAATATATCTTTTGTCACATTACCCCACCTTTCAGGTCGTTTGCCCACATTGACCCTCAGAGAAGCAAGAAAAAGAGTGAGAAAATACAAACCTGTGTTAACCAGGAACGCTCCTGGCCGCATTTGCTTGATCGTGTACTCATTGATGAGGTGGTGGTTGTGCTCGTTGAGCGTACAGTGTAGCGAGACACAGTCGGATTGGAAGAGGAGGTCCTGCAGTGTATACACCCTGGTCAACCCAAGCGACTTCTCGATGCCGTCTGGCAAGTACGGGTCGTAGAAGATGACGTTGAAGCCGAACGCCTTCGCCCGTAATGCGACCGCACTGCCGATGCGACCCAAACCGACGATGCCGAGGGTGTCACCACGAATGCGAGCGCAACCTGCTGCTGCCTCCCTCACCTGGAATCATACATAATATTTGAAGATCCATTTACGATTCAACCAAAGAAAAAGCATACCGAGAGAGGACACCTGCGCGTCTTTGAAGTGGCGGTCAGCTTGTGTCCCTTCAAAATGGTTTGAACTGAATAACTGGCTGCCTCATTTACCACATTTTAGAACAAAAAGATAGCGATCTGTGAGCGAAGTGCCTTTTACTTGGAGGTTCACTCATAGATGATATCATATGACGAGGGAGCGTCTATGCAGTGTTGCTAAGCTGCTAAAAATATTTATTAGCTGCTATATGTATACTGGGCTGAATGACGTAATACAGTTGTATTATTGATTCCACAAAATATTAGAAAATATTTGATTCGCGCACATTATTTGCTAAAATATGATTGCTATATCTCACTCTAACTTACTATGTTATCCACTAGTAAACGTGAAACAGTCTGATACATTTTGTGATTGCTCTGATCGATGCACTTTTATATATTTTCCAACGTGCAACGTAAAGACTGAATGAAAAACATATGTTGTAGACTGAAAATGGATGTTAAACACCCTTATAAATGTGACCCTGGCAAAAATAAATGTGATAAAAAATGCTTAACCTTTCACTACAAATGATGAACAATCAATTCATCCATCCGTACAAATTTTGTTACCACATTCCTTTTTGTTGTTTCAAGGTCTACATATATTATTATATACATTATATCACAGTATTCCATGTTATTAAAATCTAAGCCGGAAACCAATTTAGGCTGATATATTCATCATTTTGAAAAATAATTTTCTTTTTATTTGATTTTTCAATCTGCATTTTTCCAACTGTAGTCCAGCTATTTGCTAGAAAATCGTTATGGATCAGACAAAAAAATAATGATCGCACAAGACCGAAATTTAATTATAAGCAGGAGTCTGAAGAGTAAGTAAGAGTTCACAGAAATAAATCGGCAGAAAAGGGCCAGTTCAGCTTGTCAATAACATGTATTAAGCAAATACACGGATCAATTGGAAAACTCTTATTTGAACCGCATCAATGTTCCTAAAAGCTATATTCATTACTAAGATGGCAGGTACGAAATCGCCAGTTTTGTTTGCTGAAAGCATAAACGAGCGAGATAAACTCCTGAGTAGAGATTTATTATTTACCAGAAACAGATACAAGCTTTGATATCATAGGCCCAATTAGACAAAGTTCACTCGCGACTCTAAGCACGATGACAAAATGCTGTAATGTAAATACTTCCGTAGTGAGAAGCATGGTGAATCTCAGGGGATTTGAAATCTTAGAATAAATTAAGAGGGAAATTAATCTCTTGGATTGGAATATTTTTGTCATGTTTAAGAATAAACAATATTCTTTAAAAGGATAATAGAGTTTGTTTTCATTACTTTTAAGGGAAATTCTCCGATCCTACTTGACAACATGGCTGTAAGGATGGAAATTGTTGTTGAACGTTGCAAATGTGCAAATACCGCACAGGTTTGGACATCTTGGTTACCCTTGTTTTGGAACCATGTGTTGATGAAAAATTCTACCTACCCTTAAATATAGCACTTTGGCAAGAATCATACTGAAAAATATTACTGTTTCGGATTAACAAAAAGTGTGTGAAGATAATATAATGAGAAATTATTTTCAGACTGGTAATACCAAAATATGTTGACAATTGATTATTATTTATGGGTCTACAGAATATTCGTAATATTAACGACGAGAATATAAAAAGTGCAACAAATGGACAAATTATTAACGTGCAAGTCATATTATTGAATTATTTTGATTATTGTTATCTTTATTACAGCAATATTAATGTGTAATCAGTTTCATTGAATAACTTTTCAATAAACAAAGTTGGCTGAAGTGTAATTTTTATCACAACTGATGCCCAGTCATTAATGGAATTCTTCCTGTTATTGCAACCTCTTTTAAGCTATTTATTCAAGGATCTTAAGATAATCAGCCGATTTTGACAACTGCCAATCGCTACAGTTGAGGGTCTCAATTTGTGTCACACCATTCCAGGAACGTACCATATATCATATTATAATCATAATAGGCTTACGGAGATACATGGGCCTCTAAAGGACGGTGGTGAAAATGGGTTTTTATTTGAATAACTTCTAAACAATAAAGGATGCTTCAAAAAAAAACTGTGGCAATATTTCAAGAGCAGAAAGTACATACAAAAACAATATCAAAAGTGCCTATAACCATAGGTCCTTAATGTCCCACTACCAGAATGCAAAGTTAAAGATTTCTGCGCCACTAAAGTGACTAAATATGAAAATCCGTTCAAAGATATGAACTTCAGTAAATTCTCAAAGTGGACTGGATTTCATACGGATGAATACCTCAAATAGCCAAACCAATTTTTCTCCAAAATGAATAGATTGACAAAATTTTCACAAGAGAGGTAAACTATGTAAAATTAAATACCGCATCCAAAAATGCAATAGACGTTTCATAAAAACATTGGCGTTGAAAATATTTTTCTTGTCCCTTCTATAAGGGTCAAAATATCCCAGTTTCTACGCCACTATATTCGGGTACCAAAACAGAAAAGTAACATAAGACAATGTACGCTACATTGCGTCCCCTTTGAATAGGCAAGGTTAGTGCGCACGGCTCCCGATTCAAAGTGTTTTTTTTTGCCACTGTTTTCCGTTTCAGTAGTAGTAGTTGTTATATGGACAAAATGAATTAACTCGTTACCGTTATTGTACCTGTTATATATTTTCTCTTGGCTTTGAAATTATAAATTACAACACCGGTGTATCTCGGTATGGATACATTTTATGACCATGTTTATATGAAGTTCTCGGACCTACTTTCTTCCCTAGAAATATTACCATTGTTTATTGAATCACCGTGTATAATTTGACGAAATTTTGTTTGTAACTAGTTGGGGAAATGTTTTGATGGTATCTATAAAAAATAACTTGTTTAGATCAACAGAGATGGACTGGACATAACGCAACATCGCTCATTTTACCGCAATCCAGCCACTTTAAAATATGTAAGTATTATTTTAATATTATCACTGTCAAGTCCCGCTTGGAGATTTTTCGAATCGCTAATTTTAACTCAGCTATCAGAATTAATGTATCTTATATCAATCTTGTTCCAGCATCTATGTCACATTTACATTTGATAAAACTATTGAAACAAGACTGATTTTCTTCCTTGAATAACTGATTTTATCGATGCCAAACAGGAACGGTCGCATCCGAGATGCAATCGCAATCGACATTTTTCATTAGAAATATTCTCGCGAATCTAAGACCACCATATATAGTGTGTTCCAGATTGGCTTTTCTATACAGCGATCTCGGTTCCTGTTATACCTACAGCAAAGGTTAAATGGGGGAAGTTTTAGAGGACACTTAGAGCATTCGATAGCCGGCTTCTGATTTACGATCGGTCAGTTGGTTTTGGATATGTCAGCGAAAAACGGAAAATGTCGAATTTTGTTTTTTGCCAGTATGTAAATCCGAAGCGGTTAATTTGACAGCAGAGGTACCATAGCGAGAATTTAAAAATTTATATTTAAATTAACTTTACGTAACAAATAAATTTTAAAAAATGACAGTATTTTTAATAACCTAGATTAGGAAAATGGCTTTACTTGTCAAATATTGACAAGTGAGACGCTGTTGAGTTCAGAATGTCATTCTCGATCTAAATAAGTAAAAATATATAGGGTGTCCCGTTTAAAAATCGAAAGTTGGGAGTCGTTTACTGTCAAACCGGAAGTACGTCAAAGCAAATGAATATGTCAAAGAATAAATTCATCTATAATACGCAACCCCCAAATTTCGTTTTTCTATCTTCATTAATAAAAAAGTTATAGGGTTGAGCCACCTTGAGAATCTCCCGGTATGGCACTAGAGTTGAAGTATCGTACCTGCTCAGGACCAGTGAATTTTTTCCCTTCGCGGACCATATTCGCCAGCCAATAGGTCCTTCTATACAAATTGAGTATGAGGCACATGGTGGTGTCTGCGACCTCCTCGACACCGTAGCCAGGCACATTGCAAACGGCGATGCCCAATTCTCCAGCTGCCTTTACGTCGATGTTGTCCACGCCGCTGCCGATCCGCACGATGATCCGCAACGTTTTGAATTTCTCCAAGTCCTCCTTTGTCAGGATTATCGTGTGCCACATCAATGCACCCACCGCTTCGTTTAGTACCTTTGGATACCAAATTACTATAATATTCGAATCATGAATGAATTGAAAAAGTATTACAAAGGAATAACAAAAGAGGACACTGCGCGGAATGTCGATGTCCCTTTAAATTGGTTGGGCGCTGTATTCCTGGTTGCCTCATTTACCACATTTTACAACAAACAGCGATCGATGAGCGAAACGCCCTTGTAAAAGTAGTAAAATGACCTCTGGCTAATCGGAAATCATTGAAAACAGAAAAAATTAAGAAAACTTGTTTATCGGAGTTTCCGAATCGCTGACCCAATTCAGGGACAAATTGAATAACAGATTTCATATTATCTGGATTCAAAATATTTCGTTCTCTCATTTTTGGGAGTAAAAATATAGGATATCGTTTATAAAATATAAGGTGATTACGAGTTACGCAGTTATTCAGCTCTCACATATACGAGTAGTTTCAACTTTATCACCACATTTTTAATTATTCCACTATTCCTTCATTTATCATTTAATTTCATAAGTTGTAGGACATAATGATTATCTGAGCGTAAAGTTTTTCTAATCAATATCAGACAATCGAAACTAACTTGATCTTTATATTAGCCTATAGGTCAAGTTTAAAAAATATCCTATAGGCTCGTTGTAGTTTTTGCTCTATGACTCCAAGCTGCTGGGTAGTATAACTGAAAGAACTGTTAGTAGTTAGTTATACCACAGCTTGGATCAACAATCAGCTACGAAACTCTCCTGACAGTTCAGCAGCAGCCGGTGATGCCAAGTATCATGCCAGCGGCCGGAGATATTCTTTGCAATCGTCAAATGTCAATATTTCGATATGATCGTAGTTTGTGTGAATCAATAATAAAAAGGAGTATTTACAATTAACGGAACAATATTTACTTTTCAATGTAAGCAGTGCTAAAAACACCAGACAAATACAACCTTCACTCAATCACACGAATTTCTCCGTCTTTGTCGCGAAAAAAACATTGTTCATCAGTTAAACAAAGCATTTTGCACGAATATTTTATCGTTTTTCGCTCATTCTAAACAAATTCATTTGAAAAATGTATGTGTTTTCATGTAATTATGAATCTCCATGTGGAGAGCGCCATATTTTCAAGTAACGAGCGTCCAGCAGCCTATAATTTGTATAACTAACTTTGTGTATGTAGAAGCATCCTAGATAAAGAGTCGACAGAAGCATCAGGTTTGATTCCGGTGTTTTAACAGTGTTTACACAGCAAATGGAATGGATTGAGAATATCACACCAGCAAAGAATGCATGGCAAACGAAACTATTTTTCTAATATTTTAAAACTTTTTAATAAATGAATAGTCATCAATACTTCGTCGCTTATTTTTGGACAAACATATTTCTTTTTATTATTGGTTCACACAAACTACACCAGATCATATCGGAATAGTATAATTTTTTCGATTGCAAATAATATCGGCCGCTGAAAGGGTACGTGGCAACACCGGCTGCTGCTGAGTACTAAGGGCCGTATCGTCAGTCGTTCCTACAATCTATAAGTGGAACACTGCTCAGACTTATCTTCAGCGCATCTTCTACTCTCTCCAGAACGCATGAAAAGGGTAACAGGAAATACTCTAATAAATGCTTCTCCATTGATTGTCTTTCCGGTCATTGTAGAATTTTATATTGCAGATTGATAACAGGACAACTTAAATTGCACGCCGATGTCAAGTAAGTTGTCACTCTGACAAATATGATTTAAGGGCACTCATACGTAACGACAACGTTTACGAGACGTAGAAAACGTATACCTCTGAGCTTACCGAACAAACGTTCGCACACACGGGTAAGTGGCATGTGTATGTATGAAGGAGATGAGGTATATGAAGGGATACTGGAAATCTTACTTTGACCCCCTAAGAACGGTGACTACAACTAACTATTCGTCATTTGTTTGTCTGGGCGGTCCGTAGGACCTTTGCCCATTAGTCACTGTCTAATGTACGTTAGTCGGATCTGTCAGTCCTGGTTGCCCAGAAACCAGACAAAGTCAAGGAAAAAGAGAAAGAGAAGAAAAGAGGAGAAGAGCAAAGAAATCAGATGTGCTTAGTTTAAGAGAAAACACCTAGGCTTTTTGACCGGTACATGGATTAATTTTGAGGTGAACTAAACAAATTTTTGATTCGGTTTTGTTAGAGTGTAATGTTGAGTTTACTAAAAATTCGTGCTAACTTTTGATTACAGTGCGAGCCGTGGCCTTGGATGTTTACGAATTTGCTCCACTGTGAAGTCCACTGAGTCACGCAACAGAGGGTTGCTGTGATTCCGCTTGACTATAACGTCGCTGCGCCTGAAGCTTGACATAATCCCTCAAGTAAGGAATGTCAAGGTCTCTGTGTAGTGTCTCATTTGAGACATACCATGGAGCGTTACAAATTGTCCGCAAAGTTCTGCTTTGCAGTACTTGAAGACTTTGCATGTGTGTCTCGGCAAGAAAACACCAAGCCGCACGTGCATAAGTAATGGCTGGTCTAATAATCATTTTATATAGTCGAACTTTGTTTATCAAACTCAATTTGGAGGATCTACATAACAAAATATATAGTTGCCGAAACGCAATTTGGAATTTTGTTTTTATGGATGCTGTATGCTTCTGCCAGATCATGCCTTTATCAAGGATGACACCGAGATTTTTGGCAGAATTTGTGCATGGTACACGATTTCCGTCTACAGAAACCTCTGCTGGGGGGCCGCGACGTTTCTTGGTACAATAAATAGCCTGCGTTTTCGAATGATTAATTTTTATCAGGCACCGTTCCGCCCACTCTAGAACTTCGTCCACCGCATTCTGCAACCCATCGTGAACCAGATCACCAGTACACGACTGGGCGACAAGTGCAGAGTCGTCAGCATAGAGGTAGACTTCACAGTTGCTGGGACAAGGGACATCATGGATGAAAAACGAATAAAGAATTGGTCCTAGGACCGAACCCTGAGGAACACCGGCCCATAGCTGCCGTGTTGTTGACAAAACATTGTTAATTTTGATCCGAAGCTTCCTTCCTTCAAGAAAGGATTTCAGTAATTTTAGAAGTCGCTGAGACTACAACTATACTTGTGTGCACTGCTTTATATTTCTGGCATGCTGACAGTTCTGACTATAGGTAATGTTTTGTTATTATTATATATGTTGTTATTATTTTCTTGCAAATAATCAGTCAATAATATTCTCTACATTGAATAAATTCCACAAGCTGTGGTATCTTCAAATCCCAAATCTGGTATTAATGATTTCAAAATGAACATTTTAGTGCAAATGGATGTGTATTTATATACAGGGTGTTTCAGTTCATTGTTGCATAACTTTAAGATTCGATAGAACTTTTAAAATTAATGCATAAAGTCTATATAAACATGGGTCGAAAAATGCGTGGCTTCCGAAATACAGGGTGTTTAAATTTACTTTCTAAAATAGTTTTCTTTAAATATTTCGAACAATATTTGATGTATAATAGTGAAAATTGGTATACAAGGGTTTTTTGGTACGACGAACCATAGTTTTACTGTAGCCGCTAGAGGGCGCTCTCTACTGTACCTGTAGTGTATTAAAATGACCGAACAATTTTTCTTAGTGAAATTTTTTGCTTTTTGAATAAAAAAACTGATTCCTCGCACTTTTCAACATAAAAAAGCTCTCTTGTGAATTTTCGTTATAGTTAGCCGTTTTTGAGATATTTCGATTTTTAAGGTTCGATGCATTTTTAATTATTTATGATAAAATATCGTTAAAAAGTCAGTATCTCCATAATTTTTAGAAGTAGGCTGTGCCTGCAAATATTTTTGAAATTGAAAGCAGAATGAGATTAAACGTCAATTAGTTGACAGTTAGTTTTGTTGTCTGTTGAAACATGAAACGTTTTTTTGCAATTGTGAATGCGCGAAATTTAGTTTCTTTTACCTTTTTTTCATTTTGTGTATGGCTTTGTAAATGGAAACACAGCAGAAGCAGCCAGAGAATACGCACGAAGATTTCCAAACAGACGACATCCAACTCGCTCACTATTTGTAAGAGTGCATCGCCAAATAATTGAAAATGGTTTTGGAAATCTCCAAAGGGATCAAAACATAAATGTTCGTCAGCGCAGATTTACCCGTATGATTCTGCGTGAGTTTGATAGAGATCTGACCACAAGTGTTAGAGTTTCTGGTGCCTTGGGAATTTCAGCACGCCATGTTCACCGTGTTCTTAGAAATGACCATAGACGTCCTTACCATTTGCAACCTGTGCAAGGACTACAGCCAGGGAACGGAGAACGAAGAATCACATTTTGTCAGTGGTTTCTTGATAGAACTGATAATAATAGGGAGTTTTTAAGTAACGTTTTATGGACCGATGAGTCATGCTTCACTAGACGTGGAGTGGTAAATTTTCATAATCAACATATTTGGTCGCATGAAAATCCGCATGCAGTTCGGGAAAGAAATTTTCAGCATGAATTTAGTGTGAACGTGTGGATTGGTATTTATCGTAATCGATTATTTGGACCCTACCTTTTGCCTGCAAGGTTAAATGCTGCGACCTTCTTGGAATTTTTAAAGGCTGAACATGCAAATATGTGGGATGATGTTATGTTAGATTTAACAAGTTTGGCCTGGTTCCACCTTGATGGTTGTCCAGCTCATTATTCGAGAATAGTTAGAAACTGGCTGGACGCAAATTATCCAGAAAGATGGATCGGCCGTGGAGGACCAGTCGCCTGGCCTCCACGATCCCCTGACCTAAATCCATTAGATTTCTTTGTGTGGGGATTTCTAAAAGAAAAAGTGTACCAGACTCCCGTAACCACAAGAGATATGCTAATAGACAGAATCAGGAATGCATGTGATGAAATAAGGCCTTATTTGAATAATGCTATACCACGTTCGATCATTCGTAGATGTGAATTGTGTATTGAACAATTGGGTTTATATTTCGAGCAACTACTTTAGATTTTGTATGTTTGTCCTAACTATCCAATAGCATTTTAGTTGTAAATAATTA